TTCCCTCTAAGTGAAATACAGAACTTGGACTTCATCTTTAAGACTCCACACGTGTTCGAGGTAGTCAAATAGGAGCGGAGCACGCAAGGTGGTGTGAGAACTCAGGTCTGGCAGATGCTTCTGCCTTCTGGCTCCTGACCTTGACCAAACGACTGCACCTTCTGAGCACCTCAAGGGTGTTACCTGTAAAACGGGGACAGAGTACTCACTCTCGGAGAGCTCCTGTGCAGGGGATTTTTTAAAAAACATCTGAGACTAGCACTCATCTGAGGCCAGGGAAAGGCCAGGCGTTCGCGAAAGGCCAAGGGTCTGAGCTCAGCTGTTGGGAGGAGGATGCGGCTGGACGTGAAGGAAAGGCCGAGCAGAACGCGGGACTCCTGGCTAGAGGAAGGGGCTCCCAAGGCATCTGGTGGAGATGGGCGGAACGCACCCTGCAACCATGGAGGCGGGGCCTGGTGCGGCCCGGAGGAGGCCCCGCCCCGGAGGCCCCGCCCCCAGCCCAGCGGGCAGGATTTGGCGAGAACCCACTTCAAAGGGTCCCAGGAAGCGCGTGCGGACTCAGAGGAAGCGGCGCAGCCTCTCATCCAGCAGCACTGGGAGTGGGGGCAGGGAGGGGCTTCCTCCCGCGCCGCCGGCCTCAATCGGGATCCCACATTTAAGACCCCAGATCCACCTCACACGGCCCCATGGGGGTGGGAGGAGGAGCCGCGCTTTGCAAGGCTTTCACTCAGTGAGGATCACCCCACAAACCTCACTTGAAGAATGAGCCTTCCACTCTGAGGCTGCAGTAGTGGGATACGGTTTGTTTGTTTTGAAAAAGATGGAGCTGTAGTGACCTGTGCATATGTGTGTACACCACTGTGTGTCCAGCGCCTTTGGGGCCAGCAAGATGGAGTAAGCTGTGCGCTGTCCCTCACGAACCGATTTGGTCTGAATGAAGTGACTTTTGAAGCTATAATCCCATCCAGCCTTGGAAGGCAGGGCAGGAGCGTTGCTGCAAATTCTTTTTTCTTTCTTTCTTTTTTTTTTTTTTTTTTTTGCGGAACTGAGGACTGAACTCAGGCCCTTGTGTTTGCCAGGCAAGTGCTTATTCTACTGAGCTGTCTCCCTGGCTCCTGCTGCAAATTCTTGGCCAGCATGGGCTACACAGTGAGTTCTAGGTCAGTCTAAGCTATAGAGCAAGACCCTGTGTCAGGGAAAAAAAAAAAGTGACATTTGATTTTAAGGGTAGCAATCGCTGAGATTTAATAATTCACTATGTGGCAGGCACTGATTGATCCCAGCAGCTGCCCTGGAGAGTGGATGCTGTCCACCACGCACCTGAGGTCACACAGGTGGCTGCCTAGCAGAATCCACCCACTGGTGCTTCCATCCACCCAGTCTGTCTATCCTGGTGCCCACTGGAGGGCAGGCACTCACTCTCTTACACTTCTAGATTCTTCAGGGCTCTCCAGAGGCAGGTCAGGAAGACTGAGGAGGAGCTAGCCAGATAGAAGGGGCATCCAGGGAGAGAGAGGGTGCAGCTCAGACAGCGGTGTCCAGGCATGAAAGTGCCTGTGTTCAAAAGGGAACAGGGGAGGGGCTCTGAGCAAGACACACTTCACCTTTAGTGCCGCCCGTCTTGACTAGTTGTGTAACTCAGTGCATGAGATCTCTTGCGCTCCACTTCCTTCATCTATAAAAGAGGGATGAGGGCTTTTCCTTCCAGGGTTGCTGGGAGGATTGAATGAGTTCACATGGACTAAGGGGCTTGGCATATAGCAGCCCTTCAAGACATGTGGATTAAAGCCAGGCATGGAATCAGCATTCTGGGAGGCTGAGGCAAGAGGGTCACAAATTCAAGCCCAGTGGTGGAGGAATTCAGTGAAAACCTGTCTCACTAGTGAAAAAGAGCTGGGGAGCTGGCTCAGTATGGAAAGCTATGGGTTCAATTCCCAGTAATATGGGAGTAGAGGAAGTGGAGTGAAGTGAATGGAGGATACTGATTCAGAATGGCATCATCAAATGTGAGTGGCTCCCAGCGACTCCTGTGTATAGGGCACTGTTCTAGCTGGGACCAGGAATGCAAGGAGGTGTCAGGTTCTTCTCCTGCCCTCTGGATAATTTATGGTCTGGGAAAGGCTTAGGAAACAAAAAAAGAGTTCAGGCAGCTAAGACCAGGGTCCCAATGGACACGTAGTGTGGGGCTCAGGGTGCTGATTCTGGGGGCTTCGTGACTGGGCTACAGAGTGTAGGTGTGGGGCTCTCTGCTTGGGGTGGCAGAAGTGCGATGCAGGAGAAGAGAGGTGTGGGTGAGACCGAGAGGGAGCCAGACCAGCAAGTGTGCTCCCCTGTGAACTGAGAACAGTGACAGTCCCCACCTGGTGCTGGGGGTGAGCCCTAAGGCGGTCTGTGTAGGTGAATGCTCAGAAGCGGGCCTGGCACCCAGTGAGCACTTCATAAAATCTGGCTACAGTAATCATTTCCAATATCTGGCTGCTGGCCAAAGGCAGTGCAGATCAAAGGCAGATAGGCGGAACGAAGGCTTCAACATTCCTGCTGGTTATCTACCTGTGCCCAGCCCACAGCCGAGTCCTAGCAAACATGGGCGCCCGGGTAGAGCGGCGAGGGAGACACACACGCACACACGCACGCACGCACACACACACACACACACACACTCAGGTTCTACCTGCCTGCACCGGAAGCTTTGCCTGTTACAGTGGCACTTAGGCCCTCCGGGCTCTTTGGGGCCTTTATGGGGTAATTTTATCTCCATTAGAGCTGATTATGTCACAATAAATACCACCTTTCGGTGCTGCTTTATAAGACTTACTGGTGAACTTCCCTCCTCGGGATGCAGCCACCCAAAGCCTGAGACTCCGCTCAGGTGGAAGAGTGGCAGGGTGTGCCACGAGGTAGGTGACGAAAGGCCGCTGAGCTCTCCTACCCCACCACCTCCTGCCACCTCACACCCCGTCCAGCCCCCCAGGCAGCTCTGCACTCAGCCTTGGGCGCACAAGCCATAGCCATCAGGTGGCCTGCACCCCTCGTATATGTGTGTGGGCTCACCCTTGGGGACTCTGCATGAAAACCCACACATGTCACAGAATGGACCAACTGGGACCGCACATGGAGACTTACATGCCACACAACTTGCCAACACCTTTGTTCGCTCGTTTAGCAAAGGTTTGAGCCTGAATACCTACTGTGGATTAAGCCCTGGTTTCTACAGACAAATCCAGCATACGCTGCCTGCAAAGCGCATGTGACACACGTCCCCAGGCAGGATCTCTCAAACAACTCACACACCGCAGCGTCCCCAGCCCTGTGCAGAACGTTTATGGATGCCACATATAACACACATGCACGGATCCGTCTCCACACATGCTCACATGCCTGTCCACAGAGCCCTGGGCATACCATGTGCCCCGCCCTCACCAGATGTGACTTCCTCCTGCGGAACTGCATGTAACGCTAATAACAGCTGAGATTTAACTGGTGCTTTCTGTCGTCCTGGCATATGTGGTTACATGCATGACCTTATTTGATCTTCACAGTAACTCTCCCCAGTAGGTTTTTAGTCTGCCCGATGAGCAAACTGAGGAAAGGAAAAGTGAACAACTGGCTTATTGAAAAACTCCCTGGCTGACTCTACAGCCTGCGTTCTGACCCGCTGTGGTATACTCACACCCACATTCACATGCACACCCACCTCCAAACACATTTTATACACACAGAAACCCTCTCACAAGCACGTACACACACCCACGCTGGTGTCCATACACATACACACACACACACCAATACTTTCATCTACCTGCAAGTGTACTCCCAGACTCTCACAAACACACAGCCTCAGAAGACCAACTGCCCCCTCCCAACAACCTGATCAAAGGCTTTAATTAACCCCAACACCTGTAATTAACCCCCCCCCCCAAGGGGAAATGTCTGGACCCGCTTTTCAGGGCCAGGCACTGAGCCAGGATGTCCACTGTGGCAGAGAGGGCCTGGGTGCCTGAGGAGCCCAGCATGGCTGGATGAGAAGTCCAGGGCAGCCAGTCGAGGGAAGGACCGGGTCAGAGAGAAGGAGGTGGGCAGAAGGAGGCCCCAGAAACCAAGCTGGCTACAGCTGTTCCTTCCACATTGGCCAAATGGTTATTGGGCAACAGACAGCAGTGGGTGGCCAGGCAGGTGGCTGACAGGACATTTCCCGTTTGTTTCGCTAACACCAGCCGCTTCCGTCACAGGGAGCGATGACTTCACTTCTGAGGAACCTTGGGGGAGAGGCACCTTTTGAGGGACAGTGGGAATTGGGTGTCCTCCAATGTTAAGGTTCATCCGCTTACTCTGCCGTGCCAGGGCTGGGGTGTGGGCACTTGCCCTTCCCTGGTATGGGGCAGTGGACAGAGCAGAGACTGCCGGAATTCAAATCCTGCCTGAACAGCCTTTGGGCATGTGGTATAAACTGGTGGAGCTTCCAGTACAGATTTCCTCTTCTGTAAAGTGGGGAAGGCGCCTGCCTCCCAGATGAGAATTAAATGAGGTAGCCATGCTCCATTCCTTCCTGGAGGTGGCTGCTTTTAGATCGCAGTTGGCTTAGAGGCTTCTGAACAGAGACCTTTTCCTTGACCTTGGAGGGTTTGGTGGGCTTGGTGCACCCATTAGAAATCCCAGGATGGGGAGGAGATCCTGTTTATTTCAGGGCTTCTCTCCCAGGCTTGCTGCTAAGGGGGCACCTGGGTCTGGGACCTCCAACCCATTTCTGCCAGGCTTGAGGCCAACATGGAGTTCAGTCTCCCAGGCAAAGGGCTAAACACGACCCTTCCACATTTGGGCTGAGGATTCCCGGGCATCACAGCTTGGAGGCACTGGCACTTTAAGACGTGCAAACTCGAAGAGGGTCTGGGGGTCGTGGACGGGTCCAGAGGGTCCCTCGGTCCTCCCCAAATCCCTCCGGATTTCCCCTCCCTCCCTTCGCCCGTCCCCTTTAAAGACATTCCTGAAGGCGTGGCTTGGGTGACGTCAGCGCGGGGCATGAATGAACAGGAGCGGGTTCTCACCCAACTTCCATTAAGGACTCTGGGCAGGAGGGACAGAAGTTGCGCGCGGGCGCGCGGGCGGGCGGGAGAGGGGCACAGAGGCCGGCGAGACACCTGGGAGCCAGCGGAGAGCGAAGATCGCAGCATGGAGAGCCGGGCGGCCCGCGCCTGCCTGGCCCTGCTGTGGGGCTGCGCGTTGGTGGCGGCCGCGGTGGCCCAGGGCAAGGAAGGTGAGTGCGTGAGCGGCTGCTGGACCCTGCAAGACTGGGACCCCGGGACTCCACGCCTCCGGGAGCCGGGCGCGCCGCGTTGAGTGCAGCTTTGGAAACCGACTTGGGTGCCGCTCGGTGTGGACACACAGGGGTCACGGGCGCGAGCGGGCGGCTGTGGCTACGAGCCTGGGACAAGCCGGGATCCCAGGGCCCACGGGACGGAGCGGTTCGGCCCCGGTGCACAGGCTCGGAGGCCTCAGCCATGGGGAGGGCTTCAGGAACGCGTCTGGGCGAGGGGCGCGGTGTCCCTTGGAGAAGGGGGCTGCCTAGGAGGGTCTGTGTGGCCAGCTTCTTCCTGGACTGAGTTCGTTTCACTCACTTTCCCCGATTTAGCGGAGAATGCATTTCTGCGGAGGCCCTGCTGGGGGGGGGGGGCTCCTCATAAAGCGGGGAGTCTCCAGCCGAAGCTCTCGCCGCCTGGGGTTTTTGACCCCCCCTTTTGCTTTCAGTCTTGGGGGTGAGCACGGGAGAGGATGGAATCAATCCTTGCCACGCGCGCCTTTCCCTCCTTCCCCAGCTGCCCTCCGGGACTCCTGCCCAAGGCAGGGGCCGCGAGCGAGGACAGGAAGTCCCAAAGTTAAGCTTTCTGAGCCAGGGGTGACTCAGAACGAGGAAATGCGGCAGGTGGGGGCGCGGTCCAGAGAGGTGTGGAGCCGGCACCCGAGGGCCACCAAGGAGCCAGGGCACCTGGGGGTGCGGGACTGAATCACCCACCCCGCCCCGGCGTTCCTGGAGCCTCGCTGGATGAAGAGCCGATGGCAGAGCCGTGTGCGGATGGGGGCGTTGTCCCTGGGCCAGCGCCTCTTAGGGGATGGGGGCCCCTGTCATCGGAGCGGGGTGGACCTTCCCCACCGCCCATCTGCAGGCTTCAGGTTCCCCAAGAGAAAAGTTGTTCTTGCTGGTGGCCTGGGCTGCGTGTTGCTCTCCCAGGCTCCGCCAGGGGGAAGTGGAAGAGGCTCTGAGCCGGCAGGAGCTTCCCGGAGTCCTGACTTCTTTTGGTGCCTCTAGCCTGAGTTTGAAGGTTTTCTATGAGGTTAGTGAGCGAGTTGGAGGTTGAGAGACTCCGGCAGCAGAGGAGTTGCCTGGCAGGGATTTCTGCAAGGTCCCCCCTCACCACCACCTTTTGGTCCTCCCCCTTCCTGGGGGACTGTGGTTGGAGAGAAGGGAAGAGACAGCTGGAATCACTACAGGCCTTTCTCCGGGGCTGCCGGGGGTGGGGTGGGGTGGGGGTGTTTGAGGGAACTAGGCGGCTGCTTTGCTGCAGGGCCCCAGCCCCCAGGCCCGAGGCCCCAGCTGGGAGCTGCCTTGTCCCTTGCCTATAGCAGAGCTGAGCAACAACGATCCCGGACTCTGTGACTGGCTTAACCACCCACTCCCTCCATGGGGTGGAGGAAAGAAGAGGTGCGTGTTGTACTGGGCCAGGGACTCTTCACTTAGGCTTCAAGAGCTCCTCCCCCCCCCCGGGGGGGGGCTCCCCAGGATTCTGCACCTATGTGGAGATGCAGTCTGGGCTCATCTGGCCCCTGCTGGTTTCAGTTCTCTGGGATTCAGGCTGGGGGTGGTGGGGGGCACAAAGGGGAAGACACACATGCCCTCTTCACCCCTGACCCTGGCTGCTCTTACTTCTCTTTCTTGCCCCTACTCTTGTGTCTGGAAACCCATGGAGCTGATCAGTTCTTCTTACCATTTGCCCTCCTTTTACAAATGGGGAAACTGAGGGAGGCTTGACCCTTGTCAGCCAGGGCCTTCTGCATGAAGCGTGAAACCAGAGCACCTGGCTTCTTGGGCTGTGGCAGTCAAGGGTCCCTGACCTTGGGGTTGACTTCCTGGTGGCTTTTGCTGGAAAGCAATGTAGCCAGGCCTAGGATGGAGCTCTTGGCCAGAAGGGGGCTGAGGAAGGGTCAGGCCTGATTGATTCTATAAGGATCAGGTCTGCTGTCTGGCTTCCCTGCTTTCCTTCTGTGTCCCCTGCCTCCCCCTTTCTCAAGTGTGAGCTGGTCTTGGGTGAAGAGGGGTGAGAGCAGGGAGGTGGTTATGGGGGGCAGGGGCTTGTGCTGCGTTTGTGGAAAACATTCTGAAGCAGTGTCACCACCTCCCAAGGGTGACATGGAAGTGGGACTGCAGGCAGAGGAAGGTTTCTCCTGACAGGAGAAGGCAGAGGCCTGCCTTCTCTGGGAAGCCACTGGGGGACTGAGGGGCTACAGGGCTCCCCTCCTCTCCAGGAAAGCTGGTGCCATTGGGCTTGGAGGAGCCCCATGCTCCAGAGGCTCCAGCCAGGGCAGAGGGACTGGGCTGAGCCCCCTGTTCCTGCTGGTTGATTCTAGGGAATTTCCCAGGGTGGGGGCTGTGGCTGGAAGCCCCTGGGGAGGCTCCTTCCTGTGTGAGGCTTCTTTCTTCTCAGATGGAGCCCTGTGATACCTCTGAGCCGCCCTGGCTACAGGGTGGAGGGACCTGCTGTGCCAGGCTAACCCTTCAGAGCCCGGAAGCCGGGAGGGACTCGGGCTGCAGCCTCCTGCTGTGTGTGTGTGTGTTTGCATGTGCTTGTGTGTGTTATGAGGAGTACACACTTACTGTTGTCCTCTTCCCAGCCAGCTGGAGTCAGGAACCCCTGGATTCCTTCCCATGTGGCTGGAACATTCCACTTGCTAGTGGGGTCACAGGGTTTTGTAAACTGTGGCCCTGGGCAAGTCTGAACAAATCCCTGCCCCTACCACCACCACCCCACCCCCGCCCCAGCCACTCTGCCCTGTCCCCACAGCCCAGGTGTGGGGCCTGGTGCCACATCAGATCGATTCTTCTTTCCTGTCTGGCTGTGGACCCTTCCTAGAGAGGTTTGGCTGCCCAAGGTCAGCAGCCAGGGTGGTAGCCTCACACCAAGCACTTATGTGGAAGCAGGCTGTTTATCCTCAGGACAGGGCTTTTCATTTTATTATTTTTAATTGGTGCCAGGGGTTGAATCCAGGGCAGCACACATGTTAAGCACACACTATATTGTTGAGCTGCATATTCCCAGCTCTAGAAAGCATTTTTTTTTTAAATGTACTTGGTATAGGGTCTCACTATGCAACTCAGACTCAGTGATCCTCCTGTTTTTAGCCTCCCCAGTGCTGGGATTACAGGTGTGCACCATCATGTCCGGACTCTGTGGCTACCTCAGCATGCCCATGGGTGGGGCCGGCGCAGCATGTGGTGCTGGGGATGGAACCCTGGTCCCTGCACTTGCCTAAGCAGGTGCTTAGTCCACTAAGCTATCTTGCCAGCCCTGAAAGCATCTTTTTTTAAAGTACTAGGGATCAAGCCCAGGGGAGGTCTACTACTAAGCTATATCTCCAGCCCTTTTATGAATTTTTTTATTCTGAGACAAGGACTTGCTATGTTGTCCAGCAGGGACTCTAACTTGGTAACTGTCCTGCCTCAGCCTCCTGCAGTGCTGGACTCAGGGGTGTACACTACAGTTCCTGACATAGAGAGGTTTTTGTAAGACTACCTACCCTAAGGGTCTCTGATCCCTCATCCTGCATTCTATTTCCAAACCAGTTGCCCCTGTCCCCAGCCTGCCTCTGTTGCCCTGTCTCCTTGGTGCTGGCCTGGGGGAGACAGCCTCTTGCGGCTGGATCCTCAGACTCCAGAGCCATGAAGAGGACTGCTTGGCCTCATCCCGTCCATCCTACGGCTTTACCTTCTGCACACTGGATAGATTTGGAATAAGGATTTTTTTTGTTGCTGTTGCTCCGAATGCCTTCAGGGCAGGTTTGGCTGGCTTGAGTTGTGGGGATCGAACCACAGCAGCCTGAGCCTGACTACTTTGTTGAAGCAGCCACTTAAAGAACTGAGCTAAGGGGCAGGCCCCCACACTGGATAGATTTGGGCTGGTTGTACTTTAGGTTCTGTGACTCATAGGTTCGAAGACTCAGTTTTCCCAATGTCCTTGCCCTCCATGGAGGTGGCACTTAGTGACTCCCTACCTGGGCATTACTTGGACATGGGGAAAGGACAGTGTTTCAGGCTTGGCTGCAGCTGCTGAGCCTGCCAGAGAAGCCAGGGTAGACCCATGGGTGGCACCTGGCAAGCCCAGCTAGGGAAGCCCCTGGCATTGGCTCCCCTGCCTGGCTCCAGATGCCTCTTGGGAGATTGCATGGTCCTGCACCTGGTCCCTTTGGGCCAGGAAAGTCCCCTATAAAAGTTTTCATTTCTGGTCCCCCAGGCACTCCTGGCTGGGGCAGCGGGACCAACTTTTTCAGGAAGGGGACCTTGCCCGCTGTGCATACTTTTGGATTCAGCCTTTACCCACCTGCGCTGTGGCTTTGTGGCAGGAAAATGGGTTCCAGGCACCCCTCCAACCGTTCCCATCTGTTAGCAGTGCTCTGCTCTGAGCACCATGGGACACACGTACACAAATGTGTGCATGTGTATGGCTGCCTGCCACGGGTGGGGTGGGGTGGACAGTTTTATGCTGTGGGATGTGGCAGAAGTAGGCACCGGTGTTCCCAACCTAATGTCCCCAAAGCCCATGTGTATATGTACGTGTGTGTGAAGTGCCGTGAAGGCCCTTATCCAAGGAGGCAGCCAGGGTGGTGGGGTGTCACTTAATGCCCTGCTGCCCTGGCTCTCTGCCCAGCTGTTCTTCTCCCTTTGGGTGAGTCCCTGTCCTGCTCTGCCCAGTTGGGGACTGAAAAAGGGGTGATGTGGCCTGGGAGACAGGAAGCCTGATCCTGATTCCAGCCTGCTGTGCAGCTACGCAGTCCTATTCTTTCTCAATCAGGGCTTCGGGTGGCGGTTGGAGGGCTGTCACCTTTCCCTCATGGTCTTTGCCACACTCACTGTCTCCTCCTGTTTCTCCTGCAGTTGTCCTGTTGGACCTTGCGGAAGCCAAAGGGGAACTCGGCTGGCTCACATCTCCCTACGGCAAAGGGGTAAGGAGGACTTGGGGGCTGGGATGGGGTACAGGGTGGGACCCAGGGAGGTGGGGCCTGGCTCAGACCCCAGGTCACGTCCTGCTTGAGAAGCCTGAGGCTGGGGATCCCAGGGCTGGAGCGGGGTGCTAGGCATAGATAAAAAGCAGTGATTTAAGCTTCCTAACATGCCAGGGGCCAGGTTCCTTCCTGTTCCGTCCGGACCTGTCTTCCTGCCCCCCAGCTATTTCTTCCCCTTCCTGCCAGGGCTGGAAGCTTGGCAGGCTCCTTCCTGCCATGGTGCTCAGCTGTGACCAGAGGCTGGGGTCCCCTCCCCTGGCCTTGAAGGCAGCTACTATGTGAGCTTAAAAAAGATATTACTGCCATCCCTGCCTCAGTTTCTCCCACTGTACAACGGCTTCTTACTGTGTTCATCCTGTGACTCTGAGCCAGGGAAAGGGGCATCTCCAAACTGTTCTTTGGGACAGTGGTCAGATCTGCGTGACTTTAGCACATGGCTCTGGTCATAGCTCCATGGCCTGGGGTGCAGCTCTGAGCAGATTTATTTTAGATCCTGTAGCTTTCTGCTGCAAGGCATGTCATCTCTTCCAACCCAGTCATTATCCAAAGTGGGAAACTGAGCCGAAGGGTGTGCAAGCCTCGGCCAGTGCCGTCCTGTCCTGTGGAGGTCTGGCCTCCTGCCCTCCTGTCCCCTCTGCCATCCTTTATTCTTTCCCTCACCCATTCAGTCATTCAACCAAAACTGCAAGCACCTGCTCTGTGCCAGGTGGGGTCTGTGGGTGCCCAAGAGCTCAGAATCCACCACGGGAGCCAGGGTCAGCAGCACTTTGTGCCAGGTGCCGTGATCAAGAGGACATGGAGAGAGACTATGGGGGGCAGTGGGGTGCATGGCCCAGCCTGGGAAACCTTCCCCGACAAGGAGGAGGCTGACCTGTGCTCTGAGGAGGGAGAGATGTGTGTAGAGGGTTCCAAAGCCAAAATTTATATATTTATTTATTTTGTATTTTAGGGAAAGGTCTACAGGGTATTCAGGGTCTCACTACGAGATCAGACTCATAGTGATCTACCTGTTTACAACCTCCCAAGAGCAGGGATTACAGGCACATACCACCAGGCCCAGTCTCAATTGCCATCTCAGTGTGCCCCAGGACCGACAGGGCAAGCCCAGAACCCAGCCCCTGCATGCCAAGCAGTTGCTTTATCAGCTGAGCTATTTGGGGGGGCCCCAAAGCCAAAATATAAATGATGGCGAGCCTGTCATTGTTTTGACTTAACCCCTTCCCACCACTCACCTGTGTGGACATGGGGCGTACAGTGACAAAGCATGACACTAGCTTTGCAGTGCCAACTGCTTGTGTGACTGTCCCCTTATGCCAAGCAAGCTCTGTGCTTGACATTCTGTAGACCTTGTGAAATTTATCCTCATAGCAGTCGTGGAAGGCAGGGGCTCTTGGGGTGAGACTGAGGTTTAGACTGCTTGTGTGGCCTGCTAGAGGTCACACAGAGTCCCAGGCTCCAACACAGGCCAGAAAGACCAAGGCTCAGGGCTTGGCACGACTGCTGTGATTGTACCCCTCCACCTCAGTTTCCCTCCCTGTCCTGTGTGAAGAATAACAACTGTGAAAACTCCGGGGCCTCCGTATCCCCCAGGTACTGCCCTATACTAACCTCTCAACCCTGCACAGTGGGATTTGGCGCAGAACATCATGAATGACATGCCCATCTACATGTACACGGTGTGCAACGTGGTGACAGGTGACCAGGACAACTGGCTGCGTACGAACTGGGTGTACCGCGGCGAGGCCGAGCGCATCTTCATCGAACTCAAGTTCACTGTGAGGGATTGCAACAGCTTCCCTGGCGGTGCCAGTTCCTGCAAAGAGACCTTCAACCTCTACTACTTCGAGTCGGACATGGACTACGGCACCAACTTCCAGAAGCGCCATTTCACCAAGATTGACACCATCGCGCCTGACGAGATCACCCTCACCAGTGACTTTGAGGCCCGCCACGTGAAGCTGAACGTGGAGGAACGCACCGTGGGCCCGCTCACGCGCAAGGGCTTCTACCTGGCCTTCCAGGACATTGGTGCCTGCGTGGCGCTGCTCTCTGTCCGAGTCTACTATAAGAAGTGCCCGGAGCTGGTGCAGGGGCTGGCCCGCTTCCCCGAGACCATCGCGGGCTCTGACGCACCGTCCCTGGCCACAGTGGCTGGCACCTGCGTGGAGCACGCCATGGTGCTCCCCGGGGGAGAAGAGCCCCGCATGCACTGTGCAGTGGACGGCGAGTGGCTGGTGCCCATCGGGCAGTGCCTGTGCAAAGAGGGCTACGAGAAGGTGGAGGACACCTGCCAAGGTGAGTGCTGGTTCTGCTGGGTGGGAGGGCGTAGTCCCGGGGTTCAGGGCCAGCTTGCATTCTCTCAGTCACTAAGAATGAATGGGGGGCCGGGGAGATGGCTCAGTAGAATAAGCGCTTGCCTGGCAAGCGCAAGGGCCTGAGTTCAATCCCCGGTTCTGCCAAAAAAAAAAAAGAATGAATGTGTCAGAAACAGTTTAGTATGGAGCCGGTGAGCCAAGATTCTAGGAGAAAAAAATGCTTGTGTTTAAATCTCGCTCTGCCTTGCACCGTGTGACTCTCAGCCGCTTCCTTAACCTCTCTGTGTTTGGGTTTCATCCTCTGTAAAGTGGAGGTGATCATAGTATCTGTCTTGGAGGGAGGTTATGGTAATGAAATGACTTAATACTCATAAAGAGCTTAGATCAGTGCCTGACACATGCATACTTTAAGTGTAGGTGTGAATTTTGATTCAGTCGTGAGTAGTTCCTGTGTATCTCTACTCAGCGCCAACAGAGTCTAGTTCCATTTCTGTTGTTAACGCGTCCTGTGATCTTCGGGAAGTCACTGAGCCTCTCTGGGCCTCAGATTCCTTTTCGATAAACAAGGGTGATTGAATCCGATCCAGGATTTGCACATGAGAAGCCACAGGAGAGTCCCCAGGAAGCCTTTGAAACAGGCCCGCATTTGAGGGGGTGTTGGGAAGGGGTGCAGGCGCTGTCCTTCCTGCCTGATCTTCCCTGAGGCCACAGACCTGGATTCTCCATTGGAGCTTTTATTGGTGGCAAACTAAGCCTCGAAAAGGGGCCAATGAAGTCAGACTCTCTGGGAATGCAGCCTGGGCACCAGTGAGCTCACACGGAGGAGGCTGGGGCTTGGCGCAGCCGGGGCCTGTGACAGCGGAAATCTACAACGCCAGCGGATGACTCCTCTGGAGAGGGCTTGGGGCAGGGCACATGAGGAATGCAGGCTGACCTTCGGAAGGCCAGCTCGTCCCCTCGCTGGGCGCTTGTTGCAGAGATAAACGGGCCGTTGAGAAACCGGGGACTTGGTCCTGCAGGTGCACACACCTGCTGGGTGGGTGACCTTGGGTAAATCCTCCTGTCTCTGGGCCTGCTGCCCTGTGAGTAAAAGGAAGGGAGTTCAGTGTCACCTACAGACATCATGCTTGTGTTTTATCTGTCTTTCTGGCACCCCAGGAAGAGGGCTGAATGTTGGAGCACCCCAGTTAGAGCTGGGGTGGAAACACCTGGGAGAGATGTTCTCAGAGGCCCTTTCTGGCCCCTCCCAGCTCCTCACGGCTGAGTGAGGCCCCTTCCCTGGACCACCTCTGCTTAGGTGACCTCAGATGAATACTCCCAGCTTCAGACAATGACCTGCCATGGGGGGGGGGCACCCGCTGGGCGAGCAGGCTCCTCCCACATGACATCCTCGAACAAGAATGCTGGGGTGGGAGTTAGGGGCAGCTGAAAACTTTCCACAGCCTGGAAAGTCAGGCCCTACAGAGATAAGAAGGGGGGGTCTCCAGGCAGTGGGGAGCCTCCCCTCCTCTGGAGGTGGGGGTCTGGGTCCTGGTGGGCTTTGTTTACAAAAACTGAGCAGACCTCACTTGGGAGGACCAGTTCTGAGAGAAGAGGCTCTGACCGAGCTGCTAGACCCCTCCATTGTCAGGCACTTGTTGCTTGGTTGTCAAAATGCTTTTCCGTGTGCCTGGAGGTTGTCACTCTCCCCAGAAGCTCCCTCTGAACCTGCCTCTGCATAGATGAAGACTTTTCTTCTGCTTTGGCCCACACTCTGCCCCGTCATTCTGGAAGGCATGGGCTGTTGTTGGTGCCTTTGAACAGCCAAGGAAACTGAGGCACACAGAGACAAAAAGACTCACCTGGAGCTCCATGGCTAGGGAGGGGATGATAGTGGGATTTGAGGCCAGATAGCAGGGGCTGGGCTGTGGGACAGAAGAGGAAACAGGGTGGGAAATGGCAAGTTCCTTTGGAATCCCTGACTCAGGTTCTGGCTCTGAGCCTGGTGCTCTGGGCAGCCCCACGACGGCAGGTCATGGGATAGGGGGTCACGGGATGGGGGGTCATGGTACAGGGACCTGAGGCTCTGAGAGAGGAAGGGGTGGCTACAAGGCCTCTGATGGCCTCCCTGCCTGCCCTCACTAAATCATCAGCTGGATTCCCCCACTGGGGCTTCCCTGGTCTGCTGCCCTGAGCCCTCCAAGCCCACATCTGTTTGTCTCCCCTTGGGGTGCTCCCCACAGGGAACCCAGGGGTGCTCAGGAAAGGGTTAAGTGGCATCCAGGTGCTCCCCGTCCACAGGTGGGCACACTGCCCAGCAGCTCCCCTGAGCTATGTCAGGAATGAGCCCACTCCCCCCCACCCCGGGCCCTGCCCAGGGGACAGTGGAATCGGTCAGGCTGACCGCTGTCCCCTGGGGCTTCTTTGTCTCCACTTCCTGTGCTGGCATTGGCGGCTGAGCCCTGACGGTACCTCAGCCTAGGGAGGCCACAGCCAGGTAAGCAGGTGGCCTGCGGCCTTGGACTGAGCCACGTCCCAGCAGCTGGGAGCCAGCCCCTTGGGGATGTCCCCTGCGTCTCTGGTTTCTCTCCCCAGTTCTTAGGGACACACTAGTCCAACTGCCATTCTAAACATTCACAAACAAGATTTCCTTCAAGTCTCCAAAGTAGTCTAGAGGGCAGGACTTTTCCTCACCTCACAGATGAAGAAACTGAGGTCCAGACAGGACATTAGTAACCAAAAGAACTTGGGCTTGGTACAAGGAGGGTACCACACTGTCCCCAGTCATCCCTGGGGTGGGTCCTTTTACCCCAAGCATTGTGACTTTGGGAGGCTCCTTCGAGGACCCCGTCTCCCCATCTGTACAATGAATCGTTGGGTTGGACTAGTGCCCCTGAAGCACCCTGCCCCTTGGAGTGCAGATGCTGGCTCTGGTGGCTTTCTACTCCAGCTCCGTCTGAGCTGTCAGGGTGACCCACCCACCACATGTGGTGAGGAAGGGGTCCCAGCCCCGGCCTCCCGTGTAGCCCAGCATTTATAGCTGCAGGGGCGGCCTCCCTGGGCAGGAGATGCCTCTGGTCACTGTGTTCACACCTGGGGCTGGGGCAGGGTTCTTATTCTAGTAGCACCAGGCTGATCCTTAGGCTGGGAGCTCTGTGAGTTCATGGGGCTCTCGGGCCTGTCCCTTCGCTGATGAGTGCTGCTGGCCTTGTTCTCGTGGCTACAGGGACAGAGGTTGTCGTGGCAACTCTGCTGACCCTGGTGGCTCTGACAGCCCCCTACCTGCTCCACTGTCAGCTTACTGGGGCAAATGCAGGCACTGGCAAACAGGCGGGTGTGGCCACTCCCTCCTGCCCGTCCCTCCCTCCGTGGGTCCCCGGAAAGGAAAGGAAGAAAGGAAGGAAGGAAGCAGGCAGGGAAAGCAAACAGAAGATAAAAGGCTGGGAGTGGGAGCAAGCAGGAGGGGTGGAGGGGAGCCCAGAGGGCTTATCACACGCTTGGCTGCTTGGCCAAGGAATGTGCCCACAGCTTTCTCCCTGGGGTGTGCAAAAGGGCAGGGCAGGGTGCTGCCTGCCAGCCCCAGTGGACCCTGGGAACAGCCCCCCTCCTGCAGGAATGACAGACCTGTGCCCTGGCCTTATCAGGGCTCCTCATTTGCAAAGCCGTAACTTACTGGGTGCTGTTGCTGCCTGTCAGGGGACAGGGACAAAGTCCAGGCTTGGTTGGGCTAAAGTGGTGCCTGTAGTCACTCACAGGTCCTGGCCTGGGAGGTGACTAACCCTAGGCGAATTGTCCCTGTGACCTTTTGACCCCCACGACCTCAGCACCTGGAGCCAGGGAGGTGGCTGGGCCCAGGAGAGGAGCTCTGTCAGGGACTGGGCTTGCATCACCAGGAGGGTGTCTGTCCCTGAGTCACCCACGCTGCCACCTGAGGGGCGGGCATCGGGAACTGGAAAAACCAGGGTACAGCCCTAGGTGCAGCCACTGTGGCCCAGTTCCCCAGCTTGGAGTGGCCTGGGCCTGCTGGGCAGCTGGAACCAGAGATGCTCTTCCCCCACAGGTGTGCCAGAGCCCAGCTGTTGTGCCAGGCAGGTGGGTGTCCCAGGATCCGACGTCCCAAGCCTCCCTGGGCACTGAGAAAGTGCTCACTTGTGTGGACCTAGAGGCGCCTGTTTAATTGCATGCGGTAGTCTGCATCCACACAACCATTCATTCATTCATTCATTCATTCATTCATTCATTCATTCATTCATTCATTCATCTCTCTGTCCATCCTTTTTTTTGAGAAAGGGTTTCACTATGTAGCCCAGGCAGGCCTTGACCTCACAGTGATCATCCTGCCTCAGTCTCCTGAGTCCTGAGATTACAGGCATGAGCCACCGTGCCTGAAACCCTGGGTCCCCCAGACCCTGTGCTAGGCTGTGGGGTGCATATAAGTCAGACCCCGCACCTGCCCCCAGGGCTGTCAGTGTCACAGAGGATCCACCTATGTGCGGAAATCATTTCAAATGAGGCATGAAAGCCAGGCTGTGAATTCCCCGGGAGTTGAAAAGGTGCTTATCTGTCTCACCATCGCATCCCAGTACCCAGCACGCTGCCAGACACGTAGGAAGCTAGGAAGCGCTTGGTTCTGTTTGGTAAACATGGCCTTGAATAGTAGATGCCCTAATGGAACGAACACAAGAGGGCCAAGAATTGGGCACTCTGGGGGATTGTGTAGAGGAGCTTCAGCTGGGTATTGAAGGCTGCATAGGAGTTTGCTAGTTGACTGAGAGACATAAAGTGTTTGGTGTATGTGTGGGGGATGTGTTTGTGTAGGATGCCGGGCCTGATTTGCTTGCCCAGAATGCCAGAAATCCAGCCAAGTTGGAGGATTGCTTGGTGTCCAGATGATGGATTCTAGGACCCCTCAACACTTGCAAACTATGGCAGGGCCCCCCGGGAAACATGCGGGGGAGCTGCCGTCTGAGGCTGGAGGAGGGGCAGGACATTCTCGTCAGGCAAGCACATGCCCTGTTGACGCTGCCTCTCCACTGTATTATCTGGCACATCCGCAGCGGAAATCTCTCCAAATTCCCTCTTTCCTGCCTGCAGCAGGCAGGCCACCCCCGGGCTCTCGGGCCAGAAAATGGAACCTACCTCTTCCCCCACTTCCTCCTCTTGGCACAAGGCTGCAGGGCTGGGGAGGCACCACAGTGGGCAGTGGGGGCCTGGTGAGCGTGGGGGCGCAGGAGGCTAGCGGTCACCTCGGCAGCTTGAGATCCTGGGCTGTGCCGGTCGCCCTGAGCCCCTAACTCTTCTAAGCCTGGGCCTCCTGGAGCCAGCACTGCCCCGGGTGCGGATACCTCTGGGGATGAGCATTTGCGGAGAGCTCAAAGCCTGGAGAATCACAGCCTGGCTTTGTGAAGTCTTGTTTCTCCTTGAGGCTTTGGTGGGGAGAGCTGTTTTGTGTTATGGCAGATGTCAGGAGAAGAATACAAAATGCACGTGGACCCCTTCAATCAGGGCGGAAGACTTGAAAGACCCTGGGGGCTTGAAGGAGGCCGCTTTAGCTAATCCCACCAGCGCTCCCTAGGCTGGAGCGGCACCCTTCCTCTCTAAACACATGTGCCCACTTTGACAAGAGCTGCACCGAAGCAGTTTGGGAACTTAGCAGCTGTGGAAGCAGGTCTGGACACATCTCCTCTCTTGTCCCAGAGCCTTAATTTCTGCGCTCCAAATTGAAGTGCTTCTGGGAGCAGGGCGGAGTAGGACAGAGAGTCAGTGGGCATTCTGGTTTTATGTGTTGGTAGCTGGGAGACCTGGGGTGACTTAGTAGCCTCTCTTGAGCCTCAGTTTCCTCACTTACTAAATGGGAGGCATGCCAGCAGAGCCCAGGGGTAGCAGGTGTTTTGTGAGGATGGATGGATGTGAGGTGGTTGGCCTGGGTCCTGCACACAGTAGGCGCTTTGGCTGTGCCCACAGGTGACGGGTGTACCAGGGCTCTGTTCTGGGTCAGCGAAGCAGGCTGGGCACAGAAATGCTGCGTGGGTACCCCCCAGGCCAGGGCAGGGACATAGCCTGATTACCAATCCCCCTCCACCCCTGTGCAAGGAGGGGCTTGGTTCAGAGGTGGCCAGGACACTTGAAATTGTCCAAGCTGACTTCAGATCCTAGGCAGCCTCGGTCCGAGGATTTTTCCTATTAGCGTAGACCTGACTGAAGTCATTATCCAGCCTTTCACTGTCTCTCCATTGCCCCAGGACATCACCCAAGCTTTTTAGCCTGATGTTCTAGGGCTTTCCCACTGCCTGGTGGCCTGCACCTGCTTCCATTTGTGTTCCAAAGCTCTTCTTACTTTCCATGTTAGGCCTATTCTTTGTCACCTCCAATTCCCTTCCTCTGTATCTCTGCTTTGTTGAACTCCTACACAGCTTCTAAACCCCAGGTGAAAATATCTCCTCCATGGCTTTTTGGGCCCTTAGCCAGGAGAATTTCCTCTTCTCTGTCCCCTTAGCTCTTACCCACGCTGAGACTGGAGACATTGTCATGGGCAGCTACTCCTGAGTTCAGGGCTCTGCCTTCGGGTCAGGGTCTGTGTATAGCATCATGGGCAGGCAGAGGAAGTGAGTGATGAATGTCACCCAGACTGGAGGTGGCAGTCTGGAGGGGCCTGCTCTTCAGAATAGGCTGATGGGTTGGTTGTGGGGCTGTGAGGAGAGGTCCTAGAGTGATCCCGAGCTGGCTGTGTCTGTAGACACCCCAGTCCCGGTTAGTCTCAGGGGCCTGAGTCTGAGCAGCTTCCTGCCTGTGAGGCCAGGAAGGGGCTTGGGCAGGGGCAGGATGGGGCTGCCGGCGGAAGGAGCCCTAGAGTCAGGTGCGTGGGTCCCTGGCCAGCAGGGTCAGGAGGGACCGGGACCAGGGGGAGGAAGAGCTGCTTCCTGGCTGCCCTGTGAGTGGTAGAAATAACTTATCACTGGTCCAGAGAAAATGCTTAGGAGCCTGGCCTTTCCTGCCTCTTGGTGGGACGGCCCTGGAATGGGAAGGTGGTCAGTTCCTGGGGCGGGGTCCCGCGTTGGGAAAGCAGGCCGATCACTCACAGTGGTGGTGGGAGTCAGTCAGCAAAGACTAGCGGCGGAGCAGATGTGGCTGCTGCCAGTCAGGTCACAGCTGCCCCAGAGAGAAAGGGACCTGACAGGCTGGTGTGCACCAATCCAAGGCCAGAAAGCCCCAGGTGGTCACTGTGCCCAGTCATGAGCTCATAGGTTTCCTAGGAAGCTGAAGTGCAAAAGGAATACCAGGCTCAGGGGTGTAGTACTTCCTGGGAGTTGGTGGCCAGCAGTGTCTTAGTTTGAAGCCTCTTCTTAGAACCTAGTGGGGCTGGGTGCTGGCCACACATCTTGTCATCCCAAGTCAGCAAGAAAACAGGTCACAGGGATCTAGTGACTTGTCTGAAGTCCCACAGTGAGATTGGGTCCACCATGTAGAGGGACAGATGGAGCTGACCTTGTGCTTCTGTTCTTGTGCCCACCAGCCTGTTCCCCGGGATTCTTCAAGTCCCAGGCATCTGAGAGCCCTTGCCTGGAATGCCCTGCACACACGCTGCCGTCCCTCAGAAGTGCCACCTCCTGTGACTGTGAAGAAGGCTACTTCCGGGCACCCAAGGACGCGCTGTCCATGCCCTGCACACGTGAGTCCTGTGTTGGGTTGAAGAGGGGTGACTGGTGAGGTATGGAAGGGAACAGATACCAACCTTCATCCCTGTGCAGGCCCGCCCTCTGCCCCGCACTACCTCACAGCTGTGGGCATGGGTGCCAAGGTAGAGCTGCGCTGGACACCGCCCCAGGACACAGGGGGCCGAGAGGACATTGTCTACAGGGTCACCTGCGAGCAGTGCTGGCCGGAGTCGGGAGAGTGTGGGCCCTGTGAGGCCAGCGTGCGCTACTCAGAGTCACCACACGCGCTCACCCGCACCAGCGTGACGGTCAGTGACCTGGAGCCACACATGAACTACACCTTCGCCGTGGAAGCCCGCAATGGCGTCTCAGGCCTGGTGACTAGCCGCAGCTTCCGCACTGCCAGTGTCAGCATCAACCAGACAGGTGAGGCTACAGACAGGCGGGACTTGATCAGGAAGTGGAGAGTGGACACCAGAGGCCAGCTGCCTTCAGAGATAGGGTGGTTAAAAGGGCCATCTCTGGAGCTGTGTGGCTTTGGCAAAGTCTGGGAAGATTTAACGAAGTATTCTTGTGGGAGGGCAGGTAAGATAGCTCAGCAGACTAGTATCTGCTTAGGCTGTGCAGGGACCCAGGTTCAATCCCTGGCACCACATGCTGCGCTGCCCCACCCCAAGCATGGTGAGCTGGTCTCCAACCCAGACTAGGCATGGTGGTGCATGCCTGTGATCCCAGCACTGGGGAGGCTGAAAACAGGAGGGTCACTATGAGTCCCAGCTGCATAGTGAGACCCTGTGCCAAATACATTAAAAGGGTCGGGGGCAGGGAGATAGCTCAGTAGAATAAGCGCTTGGGCCTGAGTTCAATCCCCGTATCAAAAAAAAAAAAAAAAAAAAAGTATTAGGGGGGAGGGGGTTATGAATTGAACTTAGGACTTCATTGCCAGGCAGACACTGTACCACAGAGCTAAATCCTTGGCCCTAGTAAAGCATTCTCTAAGGCTTCTTTAGTGCTGTCATAGCAGTGCCTGGTCTGGGGAAGCACTCAGCTGGGGTCTTCTGTTCCTTAGCTTATTATTTATGCACTTGTGCATGCTCATGGGATGCAAGCCCCTGTGGTGGGTCTGGAGCTGGAAGTTAGGGTCCCAGATCTTTTTCTTTTCTTTCTTGCTCCCCCATTTATATATTTATTTGAGACAAGGTCTCTCACTATATAGTTCAGGCTGGTCTTATTTTTTTTTTATTATTATTATTTTTCTTTTTGGTGGAACCGGGGATTGAACTCAGGCCCCTGCACTTGCCAGGGAAGCGCTTATTCCACTGAGCCATCTCCTAGGACCCTGGTCTTTTTTTTTTTTTTTTGGCAGAACCGGGGATTGGACTCAGGTCCTTGCACTTGCCAGGGAAGCACTTATTCTACTGAGCCATCTCCCCGGCCCCCCTAGTCTTATTTTTGAGGCAGGGTTTTGCTGTATAGTTTAGCTGGCCTTGAACTCACGGTGATCCTCTGTCTCAGCCTCCTGAGTGTTCAGATTACAGGTGTGCACTGCCATGCCTGGTACCCAGGGTGGTGTCTGAAGAGTCAGGGCTATGGGGCAGCTGATTCTGGATCCACCGATCCCCTTGACCTGGTAGTTCCTCATACCCCTCCCTCACCCTCTCTTCCACCCAGAGCCCCCCAAAGTCAGGCTGGAGGGCCGCACCACCACCTCGCTGACCGTCACCTGGAGCATCCCTGTGCCACAGCGGAGCCGCGTGTGGAAGTACGAGGTCACCTACCACAAGAAGGTAGCTCATTGGCACTAGGCAGGTGGTGGGTTGGTCACACAGGTGTTCACCACACGGCAGACCGACAATGGGGAATGCTCTCTTCTGCAGCTGGGGAAACTGAGGTCTTGGGTCTCCCAGAGAAGTGCAGCAGGCATTGGAAGGAGAGATATGTTGGGTCAGGGGAGGGCAAAGCAGACAGTCCTGGGGGCGAGGGGTCCTGGGTCATGCATTTGCTGGTTCTGAGCTGAGTAAATTGCCTCTCTGGGGCTCAGTTTCCTCCTTTGTGAGAAGAGCATCCAGGAAGCCCCCTTGGGGTGGGGAGAGCTGAACCGCAGCCCCTGCCCCTCACTCACTGTCTGCTCCTGCCTGCGGGCATGCAGGGGGATGCCAACAGCTATAATGTGCACCGCACCGAGGGCTTCTCTGTGACTCTGGAGAACCTGGCACCGGATACCACCTACCTGGTCCAGGTGCAGGCACTGACGCAGGAAGGCCAAGGGGACGGCAGCAAGGAGCATGAGTTCCAAACACTGTGTGAGTAGGGGGATCAGGACGTGCGCCAGCTCGGGGCTCTGACCCCTGGCAGTCAGGACATCCTGGGAAGAGCAAGTAGGTCCAGGAATGTGGAACAGCCCCTTGGGAGCTGGGGAGGGGCAGAACTGAGGGTGGGGTGTGGGGACCAGGGCCATGTTAGGAGGAGGAGGAGGAAAGCTGTAGGATGTGGCTTGTCAGGACCTGAGTTCAAATTGTGCACCATAGAAAGAGCCCAAGTTTAGGGTCCTGCTTGTCTGGGAATCTCTGTGGTGACTGCCTGTGACACAGGACTAGATTTCTTCCCAGGACTTCACAAGTCACAGCATCTAGCACATAGCAGATGCCCAGGCATCTTCAGTCCCTAGCATGGGTCTTGGGTGCAGCTGGAGGTGTTGTGATTTGGGGTGAGGGGCTCTCTGTCATCAGTTGGTCTCTCTCTGCAGCCTTGGAAGGTTCAACCAACATGGCAGTGATCGGTGGTGTGGCTGTCGGTGTTGTCCTGCTCCTGCTCCTGGCCGGAATTGGCTTTTTCATCCACCGCAGGTTAGTCAGAGAGTCTACACCCAGGCTTCCCAAGGGGTTTGGGTAGGACACACAGGGCCAGGAGCCTCAGTTTCCTCATCTGGAAAATGGACTGCAGTAATGTAATCTAATCCTTGCTTCCTGCACGATGTGCAGCTGTCATGACCTGTCGGTGTTTCACCTAACACACATTGCTTAGTCTGGCCGAGCGAGGCATACCATGGGCCGTGAGGGTCATCCTCTGTGCTCTTGTTAAGCGTGTCCACACTTCCTCCAGACACCAAGGTTGGGCATGCTGGGCAGCTCTCGTGAGGAAAGCCCTCATTAGGGCTACTTAGGAGGCTGTTACGGGGTGTAGATCCAGAGTGAGTCCTGGTTTGCTCATTTCCTTCGCCTGCCCCCATGTCCTCTGGCTGGTGGGGGACGCTGAGCAGAGGGTTGAGTACATCCCCAGGACACAGGCAGGGGCAAGAGGTGCTGCTGGTGACCCCAAGCCTCACTGACTTCCTGTGTGCTTGTCCCCTTGGGGCCTTTTCAGGAGGAGAAGGCTGCGGGCTCGCCAGTCCTCAGAGGATGTTTATTTCTCCAAATCAGGTGAGATGTAGCTTCTTGCTGCAAACTGGGACCTGTTACTGCTGCCCCCAGAAGCCTCCCCCCACCCCCCAGTTCCATGCCAGAGATGGGAAGAGCCAGGTTCTCAGAGGCTTTGCTGGAAGGGCTCAGCCAGAAGATCCATGCCCTACGGCCTGGTCCACATCTTCCAAAGTCCCTGGTCATTTGGCTCCCTCTTCCTCCCCTAGGAGGTCACCCTCCCAGAGACCCCTTCTGAGCTGTGTGACTCCCTCTCCCCTTTCCAGAACAACTGAAGCCCCTGAAGACGTACGTGGACCCCCACACCTATGAAGATCCTAACCAGGCTGTGCTCAAGTTCACCACGGAGATCCACCCGTCGTACATCACAAGGCAGAAGGTGATCGGGGCAGGTGAGGCCGGCGCTCCCAGGAGGCTGGTGGTGAGGGCTAGGGTTGGGCTCACCTGTCCCCTGGGCTGACTGGGGTGCACCCTCATCTTGCCTACCCACAGGAGAGTTTGGGGAGGTGTACAAGGGGATGCTGAAGTCGTCCTCTGGGAAGAAGGAGGTGCCTGTAGCCATCAAGACGCTAAAAGCTGGCTACACAGAGAAGCAGCGGGTGGACTTCCTGAGTGAGGCCAGCATCATGGGCCAGTTCAGTCACCACAACATCATCCGCCTGGAGGGCGTCATCTCCAAATGTGAGGCTCAGGGGTTCCAGGGACCTGACCCACGGGGGTGGGGGGGTTGCTCTGGGGGCCCCCTGCCCCACCCTCCTCTCACACCTGTACCGTGCCCTGCAGACAAGCCTATGATGATCATCACGGAGTACATGGAGAACGGGGCCCTGGACAAATTCCTTCGGGTAAGGATGTAGTCAGTGGCAGAGAGGGACACGGGGGCCAGGTGGTGGGGTGTCTGGCTGACAACTGAGGATCCATGTCCCACAGGAGAAGGATGGTGAGTTCAGCGTGCTGCAGCTGGTGGGCATGCTGCGGGGCATCGCGTCTGGCATGAAGTACCTGGCCAATATGAACTACGTGCACCGCGACCTGGCCGCCCGCAACATCCTTGTCAACAGCAACCTGGTCTGCAAGGTGTCTGACTTTGGTCTGTCCCGAGTGCTGGAGGATGACCCCGAGGCCACCTACACCACCAGTGTGAGTTGGGGGGTCTGCTGTCCTGGGGACAGGGAACGCAGGAGTCAGGGGCACAGCCATCGCTCTGCCCCCTGCCTCTGTCCTGTACACTGGGGGCGAGGAGTTTGCAGGGCAGGAGCACCCCTGGTGAAAGGGCCGCATCCCCTGCAGGGTGGCAAGATCCCCATCCGCTGGACAGCCCCAGAGGCCATCTCCTACCGCAAGTTCACCTCGGCCAGCGACGTGTGGAGCTACGGCATTGTCATGTGGGAGGTGATGACCTACGGCGAGCGGCCCTACTGGGAGCTGTCGAACCACGAGGTGGGTCCTGTTTCCCAGCCTGGCCCAAACTGAAACTTTTTATTCCTTCCTTCTCAACTCCTGGGGCGGGACAGAGGGCTTTTGGGGGAGGGGTTAATCATCCAGTACACGCCATGGCTTCACGCAGTTGTTCTTCTGTGTGCTTAAGAGTTACGGAGATGAGGACGCAGGGAGCAGGTCGTGTGCCTTTGTGTGCGCACGCGTACTCCTCCGCGCACGTCTGTACCCGGGGCCCAGGCCTCATGCAGGCCCAAGGCCAGGAGGCCAGGAGGCTTCCAGAAGGTCTCATTTCGGCTCAGGCCGAGAGCAGAAAAGGGAGCCAGGTGAAGAGAAGGCAGGGAAGTGAGCCTGGCCAGGGCAAGTCCAGAGATAGAGCTGAGTCCCAATGTGGCTGCCCCTGGGGACTCCGAGGGCTGACGGTCCCTTCTTCCATGGCGCCTGGGGACAGCCGAAGGTTGTGTGTAGGACTTGAGGAAGGAGCCAGCCAGGCATGGTCTTCCAGGCCTGTAGTTCTGGCCCTCTGGGAGGCCAAGGTAGTAGTATTGCGAATTCATGCCCAGATTCAGGATTAGCAAGACTGAGTTTCAAAATAAAAAATAAAAGGGCTGGGATGTAGTTTAGGCAAAGGTTTCGGGTTCAATCCCAAATAACCATGAAACAGAGAAGTAAGGGATCATCTTGTTGCTGGGGCTCCCTGTCCCCTCCCTCTCCTACGTCTGTGTTCCTCCGCTTCCTGCCATGACCACTCCGACCCCTCTTAGGTGATGAAAGCCATCAACGACGGCTTCCGGCTCCCCACGCCCATGGACTGCCCCTCGGCCATCTACCAGCTCATGATGCAGTGCTGGCAGCAGGAGCGCGCCCGGCGCCCCAAATTTGCGGACATCGTCAGCATCCTTGACAAGCTTATCCGAGCCCCCAACTCCCTCAAGACCCTGGCTGACTTTGACCCCCGGTAAGCTCCACGCCCTTTGCCTGTGGGTGACCCAGCCTTTACTCCTGCAGACTCCTGAGCCCCTGCAGTATAGAGGACATCCAGGGGTAGCCAGGGGATGGGGAGGAGGCTCACGAGCTGTGCCCAGGCCACACGGGGCAGGGGAGAATGCTAGTCCCATTAGCAGAAGAAACCAGCACTTGGAGCATGCGCCTGCCTGTGCTCAGTATTCAACATGTTTTAACTGATTTCATGTCCGTGAGATGGTCCTGTAATTATACCTTTCTGTAGATGAAGAAACGGAGACACCAGGTGGTTAAGTATCTTTCATGGCTGGCAAGTGGCCAGGTCCCTAAATCTGTGCTTGGGATGCTCCGTGATTTGGGGTTCTGGTCGTGCCTTGCTGGTAGGGATGGAGGAGCAGCGTGGGGTTGAGCTCTGAGTTTCTCCAGCAGGCCAGCTCTCTCCCAGAGCCTAGCTGGCCAGCTTCCCCACTGCCCAGATGAAGAAACCGAAGGACAGCAGTATCCATGAGGAAACTGAGCACAGGCAGCTGCATGAACTGCCCAGTTTAGGGACCAGCAGGGAGGGGCCCAGCTGGCTGTGTGCCTCAGCCCCTCACCTGCGGGTGTGCGGTTCCTGTTGCAGGGTGTCCATCCGGCTGCCGAGCACCAGCGGCTCTGAGGGCGTCCCCTTCCGTACCGTGTCCGAGTGGCTAGAGTCCATCAAGATGCAGCAGTACACTGAGCACTTCGTGGCAGCTGGCTACACCGCCATTGAGAAGGTGGTACAGATGACCAACGAGTGAGTAGCACCTGCCCAGACTCACATCACGTCCCTCCTCTGACCCTTCTCTCTCTGTCTCTGTCTCTGTCTCTGTCTCTGTCTCTGTCTGTCTGTCTGTCTGTCTGTCTCTCTCTCTCTCTCTCTCTCTCTCTCTCTCTCTCTGGGAAGGCGGAGCCAAGATCAGCAGGCAGCAACTCCAGGCACCCTCCTCTTCCTGCCTCTTTCTCCAGAGTGGGAAAGTAATAAAAGCAAGTGTGACAATGGCATAGCTGCCATTTATGGAGGGCTGGCCACATGCCAGCTCTGTGCAGACATGCTCAGAGTCGGTCCCCATGAGGACTCTGCAGGCAGGGCCTGTGACTGTCCCTGGGACAGGTGAGAGACAGCGGCACAGGAGGTGCTGACTTGCCTAGGGTTCCGCCGCCAATTGGCTGGCAGTGGGCTTCCAGCCCTGGGCAGTCAGGGCCTAGAGCTCTCAGGCCTGGAGGTCACATTGAGACACTGAGCTGAGAGGTTACCCAGGTTTTTTGGGTCACATAGCCAGCTAGCAGCTTCCTCCAGGATGCCCTGCTGATGCCCAGGAGAGAGAACCTTGCCAGCCACACCTGGGCATCTCTGGCCACATGGTCCACTCTTTCTGCTTGTGGCCCAGGCTGCCTACCCCTACTGGCCCTTCCTGGATTTGTGCTTTGTCAGGTGCCCCTTGTTGGGCTTTTCCTCCCCAGTTCCAGCCCTATGGTCCTTTCCGGCAAGGCCTTGGCTGGGCCACCTCTTCCTGTCCCTACAGGGAGAAGACATCTTAGCCTTTTGTGCCTCTAAAAATAGCTGTGGGTCCCCATAGCCCGGTTTGTGCAGTGTCCAAGGTCACAGCAGGAACAAGCCTGGGGCTCAGAGGTTTTTGGGAACCACATGGAAGGAGGGGACAGCTTGCGCCTTTCACAGTTCTGGGTCACAGAAGTTCTGGGATTTGGGCAGTACGTGAACATTCTCTGGGGCTTTGACCTGCTGGCCATAGCCTCCCCCAGGGGATGGCTGGGAGTCAGCCCGGGACAGCTAGCAGAGTCAGGGATAGGCATGTGGAAAGGGGAGACGGGTCCCAGATAGCTCTTGCTGCCAGCCAGTGGTCCAGCACACACTGGGCTCCCTGATCATGCCCAAGGTCAGGGCGCCACCCCTGCAGCTTCTTAGCAGGTGGCCACGATTGAATTTGGTTCAACCTTGGCCTTCGTGTCCATTTCCTGGAGCAGAGCTTGCGTGGTGCCACAGAGATGCTGGGCCTAGCAGCGAGGAGTCACTCTCTTTTCATGCCCCCTTGCTTCCTGTTCATGGGCCATGGTGGGGACCCACACCAGACCCCCAGGACCCCTCCAAGGGCTCCCCCTGAGGCTGACACCACTTCTCCCTGGTGTTGCTTACAGGAAACACATGGTCTCAGAAGCGTCCCAAAATAGCCCAGGGTGCACCTCGCTAGTTCCTTTCCCACGCTGGAGACAGGCTCAGGGATGGACGGAGACTGTATGCACCGAATGTTACTTGGAGAGGGCTGGAGTAAAGGCAGGAAGTCGTTCAGCTCAGCCTCTTCCGCCTGCTGGCGGCTCTATGGGCTGCCTCCTCTTCCTCTTCCTAGCGAGCTGCAGATCCCAGAGCAGTCTGCCCTCTCCACCCAGCTATCCTTAGTTGGAGTGGTGGCGGGAGAATTCCACTGTCCCCTGGGCTTGGGGTGGGCATCGGGATTTAGGCTTCAGTGCCCCACCATCCCACCGGGCTCTCTACTTCCTTGATGTCTCTCTAGGGACTGGATGCTTGCTCCCCGGGGCCCCTCAACCTTGTCTCCATCCCACTTGTGCATTCCCTGTGCTGTTGGGGACCTCGCTGGCCTTCTAGGCTACTGATTCTTACTGTTTGTGGGGGGCCAGTGGCACAGTGAGATGCTACACCCCAGGAGATGCCCAGCCCAACAACAGGTCCTGTCTAGTTCAAGGCTACAGCCTACACCAGCCTGTGGGGGGCTAGGGGTACAGGCTGATGGGCCTTAGGGGCGCCCTTGCCGTCGGCACAGGCTGAGCTTGCTGAGTGAGCGTGTGATCTGAGGCTTGAGGTGTTTCCCAGCTCAGTCCTGTCACCCAGGACCCGCACACAGCAGATGGCCGTGGGACTTTGAAGCCAGGGCTGGCATGGTGAGTGCTCAGGAGAAAGACCGGACAGCAGGAGGGTGGCTTCCATCATGTGTCTTCTTGCTTCTGTGCAGGGAGTTGAGTGCCTTTGTCCCTAAAGGGGAAACTGAGGCTGAGATGGTCTGTGGTGGGCTAGAGGCACTGACCAGTCTGTGAAATTCAGCCCAACATCTTGCCCTCTTTGAGATTAAGAAAGAAAGGGAAGGGGGAGGGGCTTTGAGTCGGACAGGGACCCCCGGGGGCCGCTCTACAAAGCCTCCTTCCTGTTCAACCCAGGAAGAAACTGCGTGAGGAGACAGAACAAGACCCTCCAGGGCTTTGATGTGCTTTTAGGAGTAGAATTTGGCCAAATAGACATCAAAAGCAGAGGGCCTGGGGCTGGTGAGATGGCTCAGTGGTCTAAAGCACCTACTTAGAACAAGCTTAGCAAAGCACAGGGACTGCGGTTCAATCCCCCAGCACCACATGCCAGCTAGCCCTGCCCCCAGGTGGGCTGAGCTGGCCCCCGAGACTGAGCAAAGTGGCGCATGCCACTTGTAATCCCAGCACTGGGGAGTCTGAAAACAGGAGTCTGAACTGCATAGTGAGACCCTGTACCAAATATATTAAAAAAAAAAAAAAAAGATATCAAAAGCAAACTCTGGGGCCAGGGAGATAGCTCAGTAGAATAAGCTCTTGCCCAGCAAGTGCAGGGTCCTGAGTTCAATCCCTGGTACTGTTTAAAAAAAAAAAAGCAAACTCCACTCCTGCCTTGGGAGGGCCCTGGGGTGTAAGCAATGGCTCAGTCCCCATAAAAGCATTGTTTGCACATTCATTCACTCATTCAGGCACTTTCCCTGAGGACCTGGATGTCCCAGCCCTGTCTAGGGCCCTAAGCAAGGTGGGCAGGGGAAGGCTCCCAGAAGCCAGTGTTTTGCTACTGTTTTTAAGTTTTGGGTTTATTTATTTATTTATTTGGTACAGGGTCTCACTACACAGCTTGGGCTTGCAGTGATTCTCCTGTTTTCAGCCTGCCCAGCGCTGGGATTATAGGTGTGCACCACCGTACTGGTTCTGGGTGGCCTGCTCAGTGCACCCGACGGCAGACCTGTGGGGTAGAACCTGGTCCCTGCATTTGCCTAAGCAGGCACTTAGTCTGCTGAGCTGTCTTGCCAGCCCAAATTTTTGTTTTTTTGAGACAGAGTCTCACTATGTAGTTCAGGCTGGCCTTGAACTCACTATGTAGCCCAAGCTGATCTCAAACTTGCACCAATCCTCCTGCCTCAGCCTCCTGAGTGCTGGGACTTGGTGGCCTGTGCCCCCAAGCCTGGCTTGAGTTGGAACCTCAGGTCCTCCTTGCTGTCTCTTACAAAGCTGGCACTCATGGTGGACTACCACTTCCAGCCCTAGTTGTTCCTAACGTGAGCCTTGGGGTCCCCCTGGGACCCCATCACATGCTTACCCAGGATACGCATTGCCACACCTGCAGCGTGCAGACACAGGTTGGGGCTGGATCACCCTTGAAGGTGGGAAGTGTACCTCAGGTGTCATTCAAGTGATTGGTGAGGAAGTTCTCCCTATAGTCTAACTTCTGGCTGTCCTGCTACAGTGGGAGCTGTACCCACCAAGCACATACCAGGTCTGCCCTTCCTGCTCAGCGCTTCTCCACCGTCCTGTGGGAAAGTCATGTCTCCGGAATTGCAAATAGAGCTTGTACCTTATAATTAGCTTCGTTTACAGTCAGGAGACAGGCCCATAAAAACCTGGGTGTTTTCATGGGTTTGGGCTGGTGGGTGAGGACATCGGAGGAGAAAACTCCCGAAGTTAGCAATAAAAGCCCTGCTTGCGGGCTCCGCAGAGTAAGTAGTTTTACGAGGGGATGGAGAGGTGCAGGAGGTGGGGGCACTGGGCAGCCTGTACCGCGTGGGGGTAGGAAAGGAAGCCAGGGCTCTCTGGCACAGCTTCGGCCCCCCACTGTCACTGCCCAGGTTTGGGGCAGATCTACCCTCCCCCACAGCACCAGTACCATAGGTCAGAAAAGACCCATAATGAAACCGACCAGCAACAAGAAAATTTAATGTGGAAGTTTATTGTCCCCAACAACATACACCTTGGCCCTTAATCAAAGAAGAAATATTTGTTTGTTTGTTTTGCTTTATCTTGGAGACTGGGTCTTGCTATGTAGTTTAAGCTGACTCTGAACAGATCATATAGCCCAGGGTGGCCTCAAGGTCAAAGTGATCCTCCTGCCTCAGCCTCCAGGGAGCTGAGGTTCTAAGCATACACCACTGCACCTAGCAGGAAGCATGTTTTTATTGGGGTGCAGGAGCAGGGAGTTGAGTTAGTGGAGTACAGGCCTAAGGGTAGGGGATTAGGTGACTGGGTCTCTATCCAGCTGTCACTGGTGGGTGTCGCTGCCAGGGCTGAGTTGAGCTCTGTTGGCTGGGGGGAAGGACACTGTGGCTAGGCCTGGGGCATGAACAGGACATGAGGCCCCCAGTGCAGTTTATGAGTAAGGAAGATTTTGTCTCTTGGAGTGGAGGGATGGTGGATGTAGGCTTCACATGCCCGACTCCTCCTCTAAGAGATGGGGTTGTGAGCCGCTTTCCCCAGTGACTGCTTCATGCTGCGTGGGGTCCTTGTCTCCAGGAAAACTGGGAAAGTCTGTGTCGGGAGTGGGGCCAAGGTCTCAGGGTAGGTCCTGGCCCATTAACAACTGGTAGTGACGGAGCAGTAGCTGAGCTGATCTGCTTGGAGCAGACTGATTAAGGAGCTAACATCTGCACACAGATCCTGATGGGGGGGGGGTCCCCGGAGGGTCTCAGCCACCTCGAGGTCAGTGAGAAGAGCCAGCATGCTTTGGCAGCATCTCACAGAATGCCAGACTTGGCTAGGAAAAAACCAGCATTAATCCTCTAAAAACAAGTGGAGACTTCCCTCTGTGGCCATTAGAGTATCAAGGCCTCTAGGGTTGGGGGTTGGGGGGGGACCACAGGGCAGCCAAGGAATCTTTGGTTCTGGAGAACTTTTGGGCTCCCGGTGTCTGTTGCTGGTTTTCAGTGAGGCCAAAAGAGTTGGGTGAAGTAGGTAAGCCAGGTGGAGAGACCTGCTCTCCCTGCCCCTGCCCCTGCCGTTATTCCTGATCTTGAGGTCATCTTTTTTTTTTTTTTTCTTTTCTTTTTTTTGTGGAACCAGGGATTGAACTCAGGCCCTTGCGCTTGCCAGGGAAGCGCTTATTCCACTGAGCCATCTCCCTGGCCCCTGAGATCATCATCGTGACCAGAAGTGGCCCCAGATGACCCTAGGTGGCAGCCTTCCTTCCAGGTCTACCTGGGCGATAAAAATCCTAACGTACATGGACCTAGCCAGTCCAGTAGCCAGGCGGGCAAGAGTATGCTGAGGTGCCACAGACAGAAAGAAAATGCCTTTGGTCTCTGTGTGAGTCAAGAGGTCTGGTGTGGGCCGGGGAGATGGCTCAGTAGGATAAGTGCTTGACTGGCAAACTTAAGGATCTGAGTTCAATCCCCGGTTCCACCAAAAAAAAAAAAAAAAAGAGGTCTGGTGAGAAGAGGGGCTGGAGGGTGAGTGAAGCAGAGGGACCTGAGGGAGCACAGGGGCCTGGAATCCCTTAGAGGACGACAGGGGTGCTGAGCATGATCCGTGCCCAGAGTGGTTGGGTCAGGCTGTCCTCGGGTCAGGCTGTCCTCTGAGGGCTGGAGAAGGAGCAAGTGGTGTATGGCTGCTTTATCAAGGGAGAGAGTCAGCTTTCCCTCACCCAGATACAGGGAGCAGCCCTTGTCCTCCTGTGTGTGGGAGTGGAGCGCAAGAAGCTTTTCCCTTTGGGAACTGTTTGCCCAGTATCTGGAGCTGGGACTGGAGCAGCTGAGTGCAGATTTTGTATTGGGACTGAGTGTTGGGCTTTTTTTTTTTTTTTTTTAAGTTTCCTTCTAGGTAGCAAAGTCTGGTGACCCGGTAGGTTAATGTTTATGTCTGTGGATGATGAGGGTGGCTTGTACCAAAGACCTTGAGTTCCTACGGGCTTGGGAGAGTGGATAGGGGTTTGAGAGGAGCCATTTATGCATAGATCTGGAGAGCTGGAGGACTTTACCTGGGGCAGAGATCCCACATGGGGGCAGTAGGGGAGAGGCCGGCCACCACCTCCTCGTTAGTTTGCATGAGACTAGAAGAGAAGGTGAAGGGTGAAACTGAGAGTGCACCTAGGTGCTGCACCTGGCAGAGCGGAGGGATGGGGGTGGGGGTGGGGTGGGTGGGGTGGTAGGTTGGTCTGGTGAAGAGAAAAATAAAGACTGAATAGGGAAAAAATCTTGGAAAGTGCCTTGCAGCTATAGCTCAGCATGAGAGGTAAAGGTGTCTATGAAGATAAGAGCTGGAGATGCTGGGGCAATAGCTCAGCGGTAGAATGTCTTCCTAGCAAGCATAAGGTCCTGTGTCTGATCCCATGGGAGAGGTATGACACCCTGAGATCAGTTTTAGGGGTCAGTTTTAGGCCTTAGGTTAAGTTGTCAGTGGGGCTGGGTGCCATTGGGTGGGTGACCCAGATGGCAGATCCAACCAATAACCATGATTTTAAGGTCAAGGGTCACATATGGAAGAGCCCATTTAGAGTAGGCTTCTGTGGGGTTCTCCCTAGATGTAGAGAGTCAGCCAGGGCTCACCTGTTTGGATGGTGAGGGGGCCTGGTGCTGCTCCCATTGGGTCCGTGGGACAGGAATCTGGGTGGCTCAGGGACAGTCTGGACTGTCCAACTTCCAGTGACTTACCCCCCCCCCCAGAGGTGGCACAGTTCTTTCAGTGTGTATGGGCTAGGACACAGTGTGGCTCAGTGTCCAGCTTTTCTAGGGTCTGAGAGGATTCCTTTTTTTTTTTTTCCTTTTTTTTTTTTGGTGGAACAGGGGATTGAACTCAGGCCCTTGGGCTTGCCAGGCAAGTGCTTATTCCACTGAGCCATCTCCCCAGCCCATGGGTCCTTTTTAAAGGAGGCCTTGGTGTGAGTTGCCTGTGTGAGGGCCTCGCTGGCCCCTGCCCCTTGGCTTTGTCCTACACCTCTGTCTTTGAGCCTGTGCCTCTCTCCCTCAAACACCTTGAGGGCGGCCAGCATGAAGTCTCCCAAGGAGCAGGCCCCTCCGTAGGCTTTTTAAGTTGGGCTCTGTTATCAGAGAGTAGTTAG